GCCCTCCCCCACACATGTGCATGGAACCCCCCAGTTTGAGCAGTTATGGCTAAGATCCCTTTTAGAGGAGATGGCTTCTTAAAACAGGGAAGGTGCTGGTTGTACTGCAGTTGTAAAAACAGCCTTAGGCATTTAGATTTTTTTTATGCTAGGGAAGATCCAGCCATAACGGGTTTTTAGAATCCCAGTGACATCAGAGTGAAATATCAATTGTCAGATTCTTTTAATAATCAATATGTCCTCAAAGTTTTTGTGTTAACATCTGAAAAAGGGTTCATTTTTCTTATTTAAATCACTTTAGTATTGATCTTTTAGAAAAGTTGTCATTTTGTTAAAATATTGTACCTATACTTAATCTAAATTTGTGTGGACTATGCTTTAGTGTATTTATAAATGGTGAACTCAGTATCTGAAATTAAATTTTTTATTTACATTGTCATTAATATCCCTCAGAATACTCCCTCCTGATAGGCATGGTGGCGCGTGGCTATAATCCCAGAACTTGGGAGGCTGAGGCAGGAGGATCACTGTGAGCATAAAGCCAGCCTCAACTATACAGCATGACTCTGTCTCAAAAACAGAAGCTCCCCTTTCTTTGACCACATGTAACTCATTGTTCATGCCACTTTCTGAAGCAGCTCTGGAAGTCTCCTTTCTTGTCTTTAGTTGTGCTGTTGTGTCTGCCTTGATGTCCTGAATCAACTAAAAACATTTACATTTACCTTTCATAGTCAAAATGATACTGAAGAGCCAGAAGTTGCATAGTGGCAGATCTGGTGAATAAGGTGGATGATGACACACTAATTTTTTTTTTTTTTTTTTTTTTTTGTACCAGGGATTGAACTCGGGTCCTTGTGCTTGCAAGGCAGGCGCCAGCACTACTGAGCTAAATCCCCAGCCCAACACACTATTTTTTTGAGTCAGGGCCTTGCTGTGTAGTTCAGGCTTGTCTTGAATTCATTGTGTAGCGCAGGTAGCCTTTGCCTCGGCCTCCCAAGTGCTGGGATTACAAGAATGCCCCATCCCGGCTGGCAAGAACACACTGTTTTTCCGAGTCTGCCTTTTCATTGAATCACACAAAGCAGCAGCTTTCTTTGTATTTTTATCATACTTCGTAAGGACACATAAAAGGGCTTCCAGACCTGCTTCAAAAACTGGCATGAACAATGGGATAAGTGTGTTTGCAGCCAGGGGAGTATCTTGAGAAGGATTAATGATAATGTATCTTTTTTGTTTGTTTTTGTTTTTTGGTACCGGGGATCGATCTTGGGACCTTGCCTTTTGAAGCAGGCTGTGGCTGAGGTATATCCCTGCCGGACAATGTATCTTTTATTATAATACATTAAAAAAATATAAGCTGGGCATGCTGGCGCATGCCTATAATCCCAGCACTCGGGAGGCTGAGGCAGGAGGATCGTTGTGAGTTCGAGACCAGCCTGGGCTACACAGTGAGTTTCAGGGCAGTCTCAACTACATAGTGAGACCCTGTCTCAAAAAACCAAGAAAAAAAAAAAACAAAAAAAAAACCAAAAAAAAACCCCCAACATTCACTGTATATGTATGTTGATCATACCTCATACTGTTTTTTAAGTGGGAAAATTTGAAAAAGAAAAGTTAGCCTTTTTTGCTTCGCTTAAATGATGTGTTAAAAGTCTGCCTTGTTTATCTATTTATGTTTTTTTGAGGATTTTCAGTGACAAATTCTTACTAGCTGTGCAGAGGTTTATCTATAGTCAAATGCTACACAACAGCATTTCATCCGACTATGGACTGCACACAGGATGGTTTGGTAAGATTAATGTATAGCTTAGGTGTGTAGTAGGCTGTCCCATCTAGGTTTGTGTTTGTGTGTCCTCTACAATGTTCACACAATGAGATCCCCTAATTTATGTTACTGTAGATTTGGAGATAGATATTTTGTAATTTCTTTCTGTTTTGTTTTTGGCAGTACTGGTCCTCCTTTTTTATTTTTTGGGACAGATCCTTGCTAAATTACTAAATTTGCCCAGGCTGGGCCTGCGCTTGTAATTGTGGGATTACAGATGAGTACCACCATGCTTGGCCGATATTTTGTAATTTTAGGGAGCCTTTTAACCACATTGAAAGGTTTTCAGTGAAAAGTAGATGCAAGATTGCAAATAGCAGGTAAATCGTGGCTATTTGGCCAGTGCTAAATTCATAGGTAGAGGTGATGTAGCTCAGAGCTAGAAAAGCTAAATGTATTTTCCCAAGTATGTACTTGTACATTTGTTTGATTGAGATTCTGAAGTCTTGTTCCATATAACTTAGAAAATGTAACATCTTAAAAGTGATTAGAAGAAATCCATAAAATAACTTTATGTAGTTTCTGTAGAACATTTAAATTTAATAAGCATTATATTCTGAGATTGTTTCTACAGATCTTCGGCAAATACTTTAGAAATCCTTTTTTGGGTGCTATTTTATTTGTTCCTTTTTTTTTTTTTTTTTTTTTTTTTTCTTTTTTTTTTTTTTTTTTTTCCTTTTGAGACAGGGTTTTACTATGTAACCTAGGCTGGCCTTGAACTCACTATGAGTTCAGACTGGCCTTGAACTCACAACAATCCTCCTGCCTCAGCCTCCTGAGTACTGGGATTATAGTTCTGCACCCTAATCCCTGGCTATTTAATTTTTTCTTAAAATATAGACCATCTGTTTAGGGATAAACACTTCCCCGATATGCTCTTTGTTTTGGTGAAGTGAATACTGAACTGCTGCTTATAATTATTAGCTAGAGTAGCTGCTTGTTTTTTTTTTGACAGTAGTGGGAATTGAACTCAGGACCTTGTGCTTGAGAGGCAGGCCCGCTGTCACTGAGCTGAATCCCCAGCCAGCTGCCTCTTGAAACACGGTGACTCTGTCATCAGCATGAAGGAAACTGTCTTCTATTTACTATGGCAGGGAGACCAATACAGTGACTACATATTAGTTTAGCTAGAAATTAAACAGAAGGGTATGTTAGGACCCAGTGTCCTTTGAAATTATGAGGGACTAAGCTTGTCTCTGTCATGAGACAGTTCTTGTCTATTCTGATTGAAAATAGAGTGGTATAGCCTTCCTAGAAACATGAACAGCTGAAAATCTGGGAATCTGGGTAAGATAGGGATCTATAGTGTCTACGTCTAGTTCTGTGTGTATGTGTTTTTTTTAGATATGGTCTTTTAATGTGATGAAAGTTGGAACCATAAAGTTTTTAGTAATACATTCCTTTGTTTTTAAAATTCAAAAAGGCATAGAAAACATTTAATAGAAAGTCTCTCCTATAGTCTCTCATATATGCTTTCAGAGTTTCTTTAGTATACGTAAACAAATATGAATTTGCATGGAGTAGTATATTTATATCACATTTTTCTTTTTCAGTACAAGGTTTTAAAGACTGTCTATAATTTTTTTTTTTTTTTTTTTGTACCGGGGATTGAACTTGGGTCCTTGCGCTTGCAAGACAGGCCACCGAACTGCTGAGCTAAATCCCTGGCCCCTTTTGTCCTCTTTTTTTAAAAAAAATTTTATAGAGTGATCTTACCTTGGGCTGTAGCCCACTTTATTTTCAGTTGATAGGAACCCAGGAAGATGTTAGAAGATTGTAGAAATCAAATTCCTTGTATTTTATTTTATTTGTTCTTTTTTTGTTTTTGATGCTGGGGATTGAACTCAAGGCAGGCGCAGTGCCACTGAGCTAACTCCCGGGTCCACTTGTATTTTAATTCTCTTGCATTATCATAGTAGAACCAGTTAATTGTCACTGAGGAAAGAGGTCTATTTGATGGTTCTCCTGAACTCTGCATGGGAACCTTGTAGAATCTTCAAAGAATTTGTCTCCTTCCTGACATACAGTGATCTTTTCATCTTGAGGTGCCCACAGAGCCTCTGTGGAGATACTGAGAAATTAATAGCACGAGGCACAGGTGCTTCTATTTCTTTTAAAATATTAACTAAAGTAAAACAAATGAATGAATAATATTTTCCAGGTTTTTTTGTTTGTTGATACTAGGGATTGAACTCAGGGGTGGTCTAGCACTGAGTTATACCCTGAGACCTTTTTAAAGATTTTGAGACAGGATCTCTCTAAGTTGCCTAAGCTGGCCTCAAACTTGAAATCTTCCTGCCTCAGCCTTCCATGTGGCTGGGGTGAGAGAAATCATTGCATCTACCAGTACTTGATTCTGAGGGGTAATGTGAGAGTGTGGCAAAGGCCTGAGACAACTTGAGAAGTTGTTAGTTTTTTTTTTTTGTGCCAGGGATTGAACTCAGGACCGTGAAACAGGCAGCAGTGCCACTGAGTTAAATCCCCGGCCCTGTTTGTTAATATTTGAAGATCTTGTTAATGACTTTTTTTCCTTACTTTTGAGGCTTTATTACTGTGTGTTTGCAGTACGTGCAGTTTACAGTCATCTTGGGGAGTGGGTACATGTACATAACACAGCTTTTTTTTTGTCTAACCTTCTCCATCTTTCCCCCTCCCTCCCTCCTCAAATTCTCCTGTCCTTATTTTCATTCTTAATACTATTAATCTTAGCTCATGTGATGGCATATAATGGTTCTATAAATTGAGGTTATTAGGTGCCCTATAGTGGCATATTTTTATTGTACTTATTTTCCCTTCCCATCCTCACCCCTCGCCCTTAGTGATAGTCTTTAAAAAGTGAAATCCCTGGTACCAGAGGGGAAAAAAAAAGCGAAATTCCTTGAAAGGCTAGGCAGTAGAATGAATATCTCAGAATGGAAGCCAAGGTAAGGATATGTTGCACATTTTGTACCCAGATTTATACAGAAGAGAGGAGGGAGATGAAGGTGCATTAGGACAAAGATCTATCAGCAACCTGGTCGTAGCCAGAAAGTGTCGTACATATTAGTGTAGGAGCACCTTTCCCTATTTTGCACTAACAAAGTTGAAATAATTGGGTAGATTGTGAAGATTGTTTTATGATTATTGGTTGGGTAAGACTGTTTGACTTCCTGTTGTTTCACGTCCCTTTGAACAGATATTGCTGGTGATTTCAAAGAGCAGTTGGAGACACTAATACCATATGTATTAAACCCATCTAAGTTAATGGAAAAGGAGATCAATGGCTCAAAGGTCACGTGCCGGGGACTGTTGGAGTATTTTAAGGTAAATGTGGGTTTTAATATATAAACTGTTTGATTTTTAATAAAGCTGATCTAACTTGTAAACTCTCCTGAATTTCAGTTTTTGAAACTTAAGTGTTTCCTTGGGGAGCAGGAAGTATTTTGGGACTGCGGTGTCCTTCTAGAATCGACCACTGGGTGGCAGTATGGGTTTAAGAACCAAATGGATGTTCTTTAACTCTCTTAGAGGAGTGATTACGGTGACTAAAGGAAGATGGTTCCTCAAGGAAGATGGTGTGGACAGGAGATGGTTAGGAAGTTGCTGTGAGTAGGAGATGGCACCTAAATGGGACACAACTGCCTCCAGGTGGACGGTCTCTGTCCACAGGTTGTGGTGAGGCCAGTGTGCATGGGGAGTCTGTCGGGAACTCTTGCCTTCATAGGCTTGTGCTGCTTGACATTTTTAGATAACTAAAAATGCTAACATGCACTCAAAGGTGTGTTGTGTTTTTTGCTAATTCCTAGTTATTGATGTAGGTCTTTAGGAAAATTAAGTTTTATGGTTCCTGTTTCCAGAAATTAACATATTAGTTAAATATGACAGAATGGCATTTTTCATAATAATTTTTGTGTTTATATTCTAAGGCATATATTAAAATTTATCAAGGAGAAGATCTGCCTCACCCCAAATCCATGCTTCAGGTAAATTGGTGCTTTGATACCCTAAAGGACATCCTTTAATTGCTTGAGTTGACTCAGATATGATAAAACAGAGTCTTGTAAGAAGAGAATGAAAGTAGTCCCAGCACTTTGGAGGCTGAGGCTGGAGGATCACCATGAATTCAAGGCCAGTTTGGGATACATAGTGAGTTTGAGACCAGCCTGAAATAATATAGTGAGACCCAGTCTCAAAAACAAACAAACACAAAAAAACAAAACCAAACAAAAAACAGAATGAGATTGTTCTCCTTTGCTATTATTCAGAGGTCTGTGGAATTTCAGCACATTTATCTCAGTGTGGCCGCCTTCTTGTCGGTGTTCATGGTGGCACATTACAACAGTATGGCCTCTCTTCACTGGGGCTGTACTTCCTGGCAGACAACTTTGGGAAATGCTATTTTATTACACTTAGGTGAAGGGTATCCACTGTGTTAAATAAGGAACTCCTGGCCATCTCTACTCACATTAGTAGAACAGATCCCAAGTGACCTACTTAGGATTTTTGTTATTTTCAGCTGGAAAATGCCATTTGCTTAAGACATAATTTCTGACTTTTGTAGGCTGAACAGAAGAGCATTTATTGCCACATATGAATTTTTTTTTCTTTTTTGCTGCACTGGGTATAGAATCATGGGGTGCTCTGCCACTGAGCTACATCTCAAGGCCTCCTTTTGACTATTATGAAGGTTTATTTAGCAAAACAGTTTAAACCAGGCACGGTGGTGCATGCCTGTAATCCTAACACTTGGGAGGCTGAGGCAAATTTGAGGCCAGCCTGGGCTACATAGTTCAAGGCCTGCCTGAACTACATGCAAAAAAACCCTGTCTCATAAAACAAAAGGAAAAAAATAAAAAGTTTAATGTGAAAATGTACATGACATCATTTTCAGTCATAGTGCAACTGCCCTTTGGAAAGGGGATATTGATTTCTTACTGAAGAGCCATTATTTAACTCATTCCAAGGATTCCAATAGGATGATACTATTTCCTTGTATCACCACCAGTCCAGTATTGCTGGCTAGTTGCTGTCTCCACACATTCATCTGTCACAGGATTCATAAAGGGATTGGATCTCCATAATAACCCTTGGATACATCTACTACTATTTAATTTCAGTGATGACTTCTTGTCCATAAATTTCTTTAGTGCAAGAAAATAAACTTTGCTCATGATGTCTACTTGGTAGGCTCAGAGATGCTTTTCCCCAAAAAATTTTTTTTTTCTTTTTGGTACTGGATATCAAATTCTGGACCATATGCTTGTGAGGCAGGTGGCAGAACCACTGAGCTAAATCCCCAGCACTTTCCCCATATATTTTATTTTGAGATAAGGTCTTGCTGATTTCTTTAATAGCAAAATATTTTCAAAAATAGCTAGCTCCTGGGATTTTCATTATAAAGATAATTTTTCTTTGCATGTACAGTAAAACTTGGTTTGCAAGCCTAATTTGTTCCAGAAACTTGTTTATAATTAAATTTATCAAAGTGAGTTTTCTGCGAGAAATAATGAAAATTCAGATGATTCATTCCACAACCCCAAAATACTGATATACAAATGATTATAATACAAAATAATAAAGTACAAAATAAAAAAGAAAAACAAATGGATTAACCTGCACTTACCTTTGCAAACCTTCATTGCTATTGGGAGGGTGGTGAGAGAGGAGGGTTATTTTGTGTAACCACTTCCACTGACACTGATGGAATCACTGCTGTCTATTGGCTCAGTGGAACCTTTTTGTTTTTGTGCAACTTTAACAAGGAACCTATCCAATGATACTTGCTTTTGCCTCCTTTTGAGAATTTTGCAGAAATGTGATATTGCATTGTCATTAAACAGATTAATTGCATTGCTACAAACTTATTTGGGTGGTGCTTTTCTACAAAATTTTGCACTGTTTTCCACATTTTATACACCTCCCTGGTCTCATTTGAAATGAGATTCCTCTAGCCTTTTCTTCTCTGCACCTGAGCGGGGTGGTGGGGAGGCATTGGTTCAGTTGTGATCATGTGGTATTGGCATTATGCACTTATATTGCAAGTGATTGCTTGTTTATCAAGTTACAATTTATTAAAAATGTTTGCTCATCTTGTCTAACCCTTGCAGAACAAGTTACTTGCAATGCAAGGTTTTACTATATTGCATTTTTTTGTTTGTTTTGAGACAGGGCCTCATATAGTCCAAGCTGGCCTCTGACTCACTGTGTAGCCCAGGGTGGCTCTGAACTTGTGATTCTCTTGCCTCAGTTTCTCCAGTGCTGTATTACAGGCATTGCTATACCTGGCTTCAATTTATTATTATTATTTTCTTGTACCAGGGATTAAACTCAGGACTTTATTCTTGTCAGGCATACACGGTGCTGCTGATCTATATCTCTGTGCATTACTTTTTTTTTTTCCAGCCCATTTTGTTTTTTGTTTTTTTTTTTTGTTTTTTTGAGATAGGGTCTCACTACGTAGTTGAGACTGACCTGACCTGGAACTCACTGTGTAGCTCAGGCTGGTCTCGAACTCACAGTGATCCTCCTGCCTCAGTCTCCCGAGTGCTGGGATTACAGGCATGCGCCACCAGGCTCAGCCCAGCCCATTATTTTTTAAAAATTAAAAAAATATTTTCCCTAGCCCTTTCTATCGTTTTCTTACATTTCCTTTCTTAAAAGGCCACTGCCGAAGCCAACAACTTAGCAGCTGCAGCCTCTGCCAAGGATGTTTATTACAACAACATGGAAGAGGTAGGTGGGCATATGCCTTTTTCTGAAATATCTAAACCCTGAGCAGTGTTGCTAATGTGGAAAGTCCAAAGTTGATCCTTGCTGTTGTGTCTTAGGATGAGGCAGCAGAACTGTTTCAGATCATCTTGACAGTTGATATCTTCGCATTATTACCATTTCTAACCAGATCTTCCTTAACTGGTGTTACGGATTAATATTACTCTGGTTATTTAAGTGTCCTTATCACTTTCAGTCTAGAAAGTGAACCTAGACCTTATTGGCGTTGGGTGTTTTTCTAAGTTAACTTCTAGTATTTTAAAACCTTTTCTGTGTCTTTTTACTTGTTTTATTTGGCACTTTTTTTTTTTTTTGGTACCAGGGATGGAACTCGGGACCTTGCTTTACAAGGCAGGCAGTGGAACCACTGAGCTAAATCCCCAGCTCCTGGCATTTGTTTTTGAAGAGATTTTTCAACCTAGCATGTCTTTGTTCTTTCTAGGTTTGCGGGGGAGAGAAGCCTTATTTGTCTCCAGACATTTTAGAGGAGAAGCATTGTGAATTCAGACAGCTCGCTCTGGACCAATTTAAGAAGACCAAGAAGATGGGTGGGAAGGATTTCAGTTTGCGTTATCAGCAAGAGCTGGAGGAGGAAATCAAGGAACTCTATGAAAACTTCTGCAAGCACAATGGCAGCAAGAATGTCTTCAGTACCTTCCGAACCCCTGCAGTGCTGTTCACGGGCATTGTGGCTTTGTATATAGCCTCTGGCCTCACTGGCTTTGTTGGTCTTGAGGTTGTGGCCCAGCTGTTCAACTGCATGGTTGGACTACTGTTAATAGCGCTGCTTACCTGGGGGTACATCAGGTATTCTGGTCAATACCGTGAGCTAGGTGGAGCTATTGACTCTGGCGCAGCATATGTGTTAGAGCAGGTAAGTGGTGCGGGCTGAGGAGGATGAGGCTTGAGATAGACATGTGTTTGTGCTTTTGTTGTAAAATACAGTATATCAGTTTGGAAGAATTTCATAGCAAAAGAAGCCATGAGCAACTTGTTCATTTATTTCCGGTGGACTTTCATTTTATTCTTCAGGATATCAGTAGTTCTTCCTAATATTTTTTCCATACCTACAAATGTTCCTTTAATGCTAAGCTCAGACATTGTATTCTTTACAGGAAGCTTTAATTATATGCTCTCCAGACATAAGTCCTTATGATTCTCCCATTTTCACCCCAATTAATTTATTTCACTGAAAAATCAAGAGCTTTGTAAAAAACATGTAGATTGTAAAATGTTCTACTTTGAATTTTGTTGGATTAGAAGATGACTGACATCGTCATTGAAAATTTTTCAAAAAGCCAATGGCTTTTGACATTGACATGATTTCTAGATTTACAGATCTCTGATAGTGGTTTATTTTTCTGAGTAACATGAACAGACCAGTTAGGTTAGTATACTGTGAAGCCTGGAGAGCTTCACCCCCGCCCCCTAGTTACAGAGCTTATGTTCCATTGACTCTTGGAGTTAGCCATTGCCCCAGCCTTCCCTCACTCCATGTTCTTAATTGCTTGCTTCTGTGAGATACCTATGATAGAGATAAGATACTATATTTAAAAGTTTATCTGCAGGGACTCACTTCTTAGTGCTGTATTGTATTTTATTAACTTACATGTTGAATATATGGACTTTTGCAGGCTTCTTCTCACATTGGTAATTCTACTCAGGCTGCTGTGAGGGATGCAGTTGTTGGGCGATCTCCTACAGATAAAAAAGCTCAGTAGCCTTAACATGAAGATCCAGCAAGAGCACGACCAGCCCCTAGAATCTCGGTTTCTGCCATGGCCACAGGTCTAGAAGAACAAACAGCAGGCCTGAGACCATCCAGGGAGAGCTGCAATAGGACACTGTAATAAATGAACTGATCTCTCCTGGGGCTTCAAATTCTTAAACATGCTTCCATTTCTGTGGAAGCATTCCTTTTCTTTGCTGTTAGTTCCAAACTTAGGTCTGTTTCCTTATTACTCTCTGCTCTGTGCACTTTATGGGATAAAAAGCTAAAGGAAAAAATGGAAATGCAGCTTTTAAGTCTCTTATGTGCCACTTAGTGCCTTTTAAGATGAAATCTATGCTTTTTGTGGACATGAGGGGATGGAGGATAATGAAATATGCTGTTCAGAGGTAAAACTTGTCCATTCTCTTATACCTTACTTTTTTTATTTTTGTGGTACCGGGAATCAAACTTGGGACCTTGCAGGCATGGTGCCACTGAACTAAATCCCTGGTCCTCTTATACGTTACTCTTCAGAAGGATTCCTTTTAAAAAAGTTTACAAAACTTAGAAAAACTTTAGAATTAAAGACTGAAATGATGCCATTATATTTTAAAGATCTTATTTGTAATACTGGTTTTCTGTTTGTCATATAATGTGGGAAAATCATGTATGTAAATGTACCATACTCTAGAATGTAAGGTCTTTTACCTGATAGGCTGGCAGTTTTATTGAACCTGGTCTCTATTTTTTGTTGATGTTGTTCCTATAGCTTCTTTTCAGAAAAGAGGCAAATGTGCCTTGAAAAGCCAAGGTGGTTCATAATGGAAGGAATGAGTTACTTTAAAAACCTGATTTTGAATGAACCTGTGACCTCTAGTAAGTCACTTGAACTTGTGCCTTGGTCAGCCACTGTGGGTGTCTATGTTTAGTGTTATATACAACTCTCACACTTGCCATTTGACAGGTTTTGTTTTTGAGAATTCTGTGGAAGTATGACTTAACTAAAGGTTAGAGAAGAGACATTGCCAGATATTACTACCTTTAATTAATGCCCTATTTCATGTTGCCTACCATTAAATAATAAATAGCCCAAGTTAAGGTCCCTGCTCAAACTTGTTTATTTGTATTCCTATGCACTGATTTTTTTTTTTCTTTTTCTGATGTTCTCAATGAAACTACAATTGTTTATTTAGTGACTTTTTAAAAATTTACTTCTGACTAGTCTAGTAGCTTTCAAACAACTTTGGTTTTGGAAGGACTAGTGTCCTACCCAAATATAGACAATATCTGTAAGTATCTAAAAATTATTTTTGAAAAAATTTACTATGATTATATGACTAAAAAGTCTTATCTGTTAGTTACTTTTTCCTTTGATTTATTATGGTGGTGAATTATGAATTTTAAAGCTTCTTAAAATTTGCCTGCAAGTATTTATATATACATTCAGGTATTTGAGCCTTTTTATTTTAAAATAATTTGTTTTTTGTTGTAGGAGGAAATAGGAAGGCTTAGGCAAAATCTGTGTATGAATTTCATATTCACACTTTATGTGAATGGAAGGTAGAAAAAAGTTTCTTCTAGCGTTTAATCTCTCGGACAATTTTCTTTTGACTAATGCTATAGTACGCAAGTATTTTGTTAAGTCCTGAATTCTAAGCATTTTATGTGTTTCCCTGTTTATCTCCCTAAAGTGCTTGATATTTTGTTCACTTTCTTTTACATTTTAGAAAAATTCCAGCTTGTTCTAGAAACTTTTCACTTGCTTTGAGCAAAGCCAGACTTTGAACTAATGAACTGAAGCATGCTTTTGAAATGTTGGTGCATTTTCAGGTGGCTTCTTGTCTCTGTGAAGGCTCATTCTTACTAGCAGTCCTTACATATGCTGAGATACTTAGCTTTGAAGACATTCTGTAAGTAAATTGATGGATTTCAGAATAATTGTCCAAAGTGGTTTCATGAGATTAGATGATATGACTAAATTTCATTCTACACTAAAGTATTAGATCTTTAAAGAAAGTAAATTTATGATTTAGTAGTCTTAGGATTTTTTTTTTTTTTTTTTTTTTTTTTTTTTTTTTATTTTTTTTTATTGAGTTTATTGGTACATTTAGGGATACAGTACAGTTACATTCATTGTTGGGATCATGTACCTTTACATGGCAAGTCTTGATTCTCATTTTTTTCCCCTTAAGTAGTCTTAGGATTTTGTTACTGTTTAATTTGAATGCTTCTGTTCTTGCCTGAAAAGGCATGATCTTGGTTTAATTACTCCATGGAAGCTTCCTCCTTTTTGTGTGTATTGCTTACTCTGCCTCTGGAAAGTGTTTATAAAGTTTTCAGCATTCTTAGTGTTCTCTGGCCTCTTTTTCTGTTTTAACAGTAGCTAGATGATTTTTTTTTTTTTTTTTGGTACCGGGGATCGAACTTGGGCCCTTGTGCTTGTGAGGCAGGCACCAGAACCACTGAGCTAAATCCCCGGCTCTTAGCTAGATGATTTTATACCACCTTTTCCAGTGAAAGATGCCTCCTCATTGCTGGCCGTAAATAGTCCTGGGGAGATTTATTCCCAGGTTGAGAAGAATATTTTTGCCTGTTGCATTCTCCAGCTTTTTACTTTTTTTGGTACCGGGGATTGAACTTGGGACTTTGTGCTTACAAGGCAGGTGGCAGAAGCACTGAGCTAAATCCCCGGCCCTCCAGCCTTTTCTTTGTGGGTCAGGGACACTGTGTAGGAGTCAGACTGCAGATATTTATGCTGTTGCACTTGTGGGAAGCCTTCCGTGCACACATTGTTAATTTTCACAGTCTCGTCAACAATGGAGTACATTTATATTAACGATAAATGGTGATTTTAAAAAAAATTTCCAGTAAAACAACTCTTTTCAAGTGAAGTTAAATGTTGCCAAGTTTTTAAAAAAGTACTTCCAATTTGCTTCTTAATAGTAAATATAACAAAATCAAATTTTGATTGTTTCACTGAAAAATCTTTCAGGACTAGGTTTACAGATGGTGACGACAAACTCATATATGCTGATAAAACATCAGTAGGGTCTTTTTTTTTTTTTTTAACCAAAAATTCTGTTTGTTCCATGGAGGTTTATGTTTTTTTTGTTTTTTGTTTTTTTTTTTTAACCAAAAATTTTTTTTGTTCCATGGAGGTTTTTTTTTTTTTTTTTTTTTTTTTTTTTTTTTTTTTTTTTGAACTGGTGATGGAACTTGAGACTTCCTCTTGGAAGGTAGGTGGCAGAACTGCTGAGCTAAATCCCCAGCCTTGGAGGTTTATATTTTAACACCTTTATACTTGGTAAAATGCCTATGAGTATTGTTTCTATTTTATTTATTCATGTATTCTTTTCCTCTTACTTTGGGCAAATAAATAAAAACACTGCCTTGTGCTTACATTCAGTTTCTTTAACAAGTTACACACAGTGTTCTACCTGACTTACAAATTTTGTGCCTTGGGTAGGGTGAATTTGGATGAGTATATAAGTATGAATTGTACAGAAATTAATTTGATTTTGGCCCAGGCAAAGGCAGTAAAACAATTTTTATTTTTTTCTAGGACTTAAGAAAAATGATGTAACTTACATAGAAGTCACCATGGAACTACTTTTTTTTTTTTTTTTTTTTTTTTTTCTTTTGAGACAGGGTCTCACCATGTAGCCCAGGCTGATTTGGAATTCAGTCTCCTGCCTCAGTCTCTCAAGTGTTGGGATTACAGGAGTGCACCACAGACAGTGCCTGGCTGTCATGTTTGTTTCTTTAGAATTATTGGAATATAATTTTGGATAATGTGATGTTTCCATTTAAAATAGCCAACATGGGCTGCATCATTCTAGTCTGATTTGGATCCAATAAAATTTTATTCTAAATAGGGAATATGAAGATAAGGTTCAGTTATAAAAGTACAAACCATGCGATTAACTTTTAAAAATGTCATTATAAAAGACATTTGCAACCTGAATAGTAGACCTCATAATAGGTCATACTGCAGTTACATTTTGGGCAGTGATTCTTATTTACCTTAGAGTACATTAGATTTATCTAGGAGGTTTGTTTAAAAATTCAGATTCCCAGCCTGGTGTGGTGGCACACGCCTGTAATTCCAGCACTTGGGAGGCTGAGGCAGGAGTATCGCTGAGTTGAGACCAGCCTAGGCTACAAAGTGAGTTCCAGGTCAGTCTCAACTTCATAGTGAGACCCTGTCTCAAAAAATTAAAAAATCAATAAATAAAAAATAAATAAAAAAAAATTCAGATTCCCAGTGCTTGCCTCTGATGGTCTGGGCTGTGGCCCTGAAATCCTCACTTTTATAAACATTATTGTAGGTGATTCAGAGACAACAGAGGGACAGCTACTCCATGAGATGGGAATTAACAGGGAGAAAGTGCTATTCATTGTTGTCTGAGGCACGTGGACAGCTTTTACCTGAGGTCCAGGATGGATGGCCACTGCCAGATGAAATCACCATCAGTTTACTATGTTCAGAGTAACAAGGGTGCCTTTAATCCAGAGGGTTGTCTAAGCTCCTAAAAGCTCTTTTACAGAATTATCATAGTGCCTTCTGGAGGGAGGGGTGGGAGAGAAAAAGATGTAGCAAGTATCCTGAATAAAACAGATGTAATTAGGATTTTAAGGAAAAACAACTTTTTAGCTGTTTTTCTTTTAAGAAGCCAAATTCCACGCTATGACTTGAATCCCTAAATCTTCCCCACAGAGAAAACCTTAAACCACAAATATAATGTACAAAAGGGGAGGACAAGATTATAACTTGTATAAATAATGACCTTAATACCTGATAGCAGAAACTTTTCAAGATAGGTGTAGAAGCAGAAAAGTTGTGAATGAGATTTTTATTTGGGGAGAAATTTCATGTATCAGAGCTAAATAGTGCTTTTACATCCAAGGGAAGGTTGCACTGATTCCCAGAGCTTTCTAACTTAGATGAATAAAAGCTGTTATGATATAAGCCTTAAAGGAGTTAAGTCTTGAACAAATACACATTTTCCTGGGTTTTCTTTTCTTTTCTCTTTTTGAACTCCAGTTTTCTTAATAAAAAGAAAAAGATTTGTTAAAAGGACTCTGCTATCCCTTGCCTTTGAATGGCTTTAAAATTTAATATACTTTTTAAAAAGTGCAGCGGGGTGAGATTATGCTATTAGTATATTAAAAGCATGTTTCTGTTTCACTTGTAAGATCATTTAATGGAATAAAGATCACAACATGATATCTGTGTTTTTGTTCTTTATCATGGGCAGATCTATGACATGGAAAGGGGCTTGGCAAAGGGATTAGAATCTCTTAAGTGAGTGGATGTCCCTGAGTGTGCTGCACTCATCAGTTTTCTCTGTCTTACAAACACTATTGAACGGATATTTTACTAGCATACAGTACTGAAGGCTATGGCTGAGGTGCTTAAAAGTGCACAGAGACTTGATGGTTACATGGACTTGTGAGGACCTTTGAATTTGTAGCACTTTCCTTTGGTCCATCTAGAGCCATTGGGTTAAATGATTCCTCCTTGGAGATGGTGAGGGCTGAAAGTGAAGCTCTGCTGAAAGATTTCCCTTTACTAGTGACCCTGGAGGCACTGGGGAGGTGGCATTTAACTCATATCCTAAGATTAGCTGCAGTGCCCTACAGCCAAAAGGTTTCTTTCCTAGTTTGAAACAATGGACTCAGCAGCCTTCCCTCCTTGTGGTGGTTATATGTCAGCTGCTATTTGGGTGCTGTGCTGGTTTCCCCACAGTTTAGTTGAGGAAGGGTGCATGTGGAGGTTGCTAAGGACAGAGTGAGAGCAAAGCTCTAGTAGTCAGGTGCCACTTTCAGTGCTGGGCAGAGACCAGGGTCAGGAGTGTGGTCTGTGGATGAGAAGTCAAGCAAATTAAGGATTGCCTTTGATTACCCTATACCAGGTTGCAAAACACAAGTCCATTTAAAAATTTTTAAATATTTTATGGTACTCACTGTGTTATACATGAATGTATAGCTTTTCATCTTATTAGACTGAAGTGTCTTTGAGAGCAGAAACCTGTATGTAGTCCAGTGGCTCCATGTGTTTTAATAACTCAAATGTTTATCAGACTAATTCTCTAGGAAGAAAACTGAATGGGGAAGCAGTTCCGTACTTGATAATTTTTTTTTTTGGTACTGGGGATCGAACTCAGGACCTTGAGCTTTTTAGCCAGGCAGCAGAACCACTGAGCTAAATCCCTGGCTTCCCATACTTGATGTTTTGACTGACTCGCACGTGTGTGTACCAATTCCCCACAGCAAATGTATTATGTATTACAAACTTACACTAGTATGAAATCACAGGTAAAAAAGAAACACAAGTCTGGCTATAATTAGCTTAATTCAAAAAAGGAATTGTAACTGAAAAAAGCTTTTGTACCCATCACTAGAGGCAAAACTGGTATCAAACACTGGAGGGACTCAGATACAAACTGGGCTCTTATCAATGTGCCATTGAGGAATTATCTGCTGTTGCAGATAGTTTTCTGTGTGTCTTTGGAGAGGGCAGGCACAGTGGTTCTAGACTTACATCATCACACTTAAATGTCCCCTGAGCAATGATACGCTTTTCTTGTTTTGTTGCATTTTTCCTTTTTGACCTACTGCCTATTAAAAAAATATGTGTTTCTCTTTCCAGAAAAAGGCTGTAGCTTGGGAGCTGGGACACTGTAAGAGCCACACCCAGATCGTTGTCTTTAGCCAGTGTGATTGGCAGATTTACCAGACTCACACAGTCACCAAATGAAGACTCCTGACCAGACCAAAACAAATACTTGTAACCAGTTCCTCAGACTGGCCACTTGGCAAATGAGGAACTCAGGGAACCTGGAACAGTTTCCAGGTTAAAGATTCTAGAATGCTTTAAGGAGAAGTAGAGATGATTGTGCTGCATATTTATACAGTAAAAGTCTCCTGGCCTTCCCCCTGAGGTTTATTATTTCTCTTCAGCAGGACTTGAAGGGTTTCAGAGATAGAAGGAAGTTAATTTTTACTTTTTTCTTTAAGTCTGATTTTTCTGGTCTGCAAATTTGAAACTGCTATATTACCAAGCCTGTCCACAGCAGCTTGGGCACATGGGAACCATGTATTTAATTGGCTGATGCACACATTTTTTTCCATAGCTCCCATTCTCAGTAGTTATTGTGCAACAGTGTCTGAATTTATTACAGAATCTGCTTTCTGCTCCCTGCGTGTAGAGAAACATTGCAGATAGCTTCCCCTAAACACTTGTCTGCCCCTCACCCTGTCCCTGCTCTTTCTCTGGCCCTGGCCCTCTCTGTCTCTCCCCATCTGCTCAGGTTCCTTATGGTTCTCAAGCCTGTACAGCAGACTAGCCTTGGGCTACATTTCTGCCTTGCTCAGTTATTTCCTAGGGAGTCAGCAAAACGATGAGTTCACCTGACTGAGCATCCATTTTTTTCCTTGGAAGGTGGGGCTAAGACAATAAAAACTTGAAAGCAAAATGAATGAGGTTTCATAGCTGTGGTATGCAGAAAAACATGGAAGCTTTGCAATCAGATGCCCATTGGAGCCTACCTGTCACCTCCTTTTGTGTGTGTATACTATAGTTTAAATGTGTCCTCCAAATTTCCTATGTTGGAAACTGAATCCCTAGTCAGATGTCAATTGTATTTGAAGGTGATGACAAAATTCATCTGCTTCCAGACAGATGGGTTACCAAGGGGTGGCTTTGCTGTGAACCTGAGCCCTACCCTGTGATGCCCTTGGTCATGTTATGATGTAGCACAAAGCCCTCACCAGATGTCGAGCAGATGCTAGTACCACACTCTTGGACTTTCCAGTCTCCGGAAGTTTCCAGAGATTTCAGTCCATAGTTGGCTGGCTCCAAGGCAGGACAGCATGGTGGAGGAGCGTAACAGGAGAACCAACTTATGGCAAGGCGGCAGGAAGCACAGAGATCGAGGCTGGAGGGAGAGAAGCCTTTCCAGGCCCTGCCTCCTGCGATCCACTTCTTCTGACCAGGCTTCATCTCCCAACGTTATATTTAGCTGTAAACCCATCAGTGGACTAATCCACCGGTGAGTATCACGCCTGTGATCCAATTCTCCTCTAAAGGCCACACCTATGAGTGCATGAGGCTTTGGGGGACATCCAGATATAAACCATACGTGCACAAAGGTTAAAAAATATACTTCAGTACAATATATACTTGCAGTAAAAATACACCTCCACCCGTATGGCTTTTGTTTTGCTTTGCTTTTGACTGGGGCAAAAATGGGGTGTGTGTGGGGGGAAGAGGTAACATTTGGACCCATCTGGAAGCAGAGGATGAGAAGCAGAGGTCAGTCTGGTATCCTTAAAACAACCTCTTCCTTCTGGGTTTGGGTGGTAGCTCAGAGTTCTTCACAATGAGTTGGCTGAGTGATAACACATAAAGCACTGGAATTTTATGCCCCTGATTCCTTCTCAAGCAGCAGGTGAGTATTGTGTGGTGCTGAGGAGCACATGCTTTTCATGTTAGTAACAGCCAACAGGTCCTGATCAAAGATTGACAACATGTCAGACACATGACTAGTCATTTTATAGGCACCTCAAAGTGTCATTTTTTTTCTTTGGGGAATAATACATGCTTATACCACCCCTTTTTACAGATGAGCAAACAGGCTCAGAGAGGTAATCATGCCATGTGTCCTAGAACTAGTAAGGAGCAGAGCTATGATTTGGCCTAAGCATCCTGACTCCAAGACATTGCTGACATTGAGAGGCAGGAATATAGAGCTGAAAAGGAACTGGTTCTCATCTTAGGGACTGGGCCCAGTACAGAGGAAGGGCCTGTGTGTCGTTATTTGTCCTGTCCATTCATATATGCAATGCTTACTGTATGCTAGATTTTTTGAAGGCTTTGGGGATGTCCCATGGCTTAAGACCCACAATTTAAAGTACTTGCTACTCCGACCCTTCCTTGCCTTTTAAATTTTTTATTTTAGCGACAGCCCAGGCTGGCTGGGAAATCCCGGCGATCCTCCTATCTTTAGGCTCCCTAGTGCTGGGATCTCAGGCCTGCGCCACAGCACCAGGCAAGAGTTCTTAAATACTGCGTGTTGACAACAGAGGGAAGGGGGCCTCAGGCAGAGGAGGGCATTCTTGGGACAGGTGGACAGGGGAGCTGGAGGTATCCAGCAGTCCTCAGAGATGGGGACAACGGACATCAGCCAGCGTCACGGGGGCGGGGGGCGCCCTGACCTGGACTCTGGCCATTAAGCCAGGCCCCAGTGGGGCAGCAGCCGGCCTGACTCCCGAGTGCGCTGGGGGTGTGAAATGGTTCTTTCAGGCAGGTGAGACGCTTTGGGATGCCTCTCCGGATCCCCAGCGGCTTCCCGGGAGATGGCATTCAAGTGGTGCCCAGTAATCAGGTCGGGGGAGCCGGCCCCTCGGCCTCCCAGCTCCGGGCGAAGAGGGCGTGGCTGAGGGCGCGGCTGAGG